ATCATGATTAGGGCACATACCTGGGAGCTCTGGCTTCTGGTCCCTGCTCCCTGGCCTATTTATACATTTTATCCACTGACTGCTTGATTTAAAATACATATACTGGACCAGTGAACAAGGACTAGGATCCACAGTTCCCCTCTTCCTCGTAAGTATAATAGCCCCTAAGTTAGAGTCATGTTCCCTCTTGTGTTTTTTCTCTTTCTCACACCCAACACTTCTTCAGTTATTTTCTGCTCAGAGGCAAAGCAGGTCAGACAAGAGCATTTTTAACCAGGAAAACCTACAGGCTGCTGTGTAGGACACTGTTCTGTTGTCCTGTAGGATCAATATGTGGGACAATGAACAACGTGTTTTGCCCAACAAAGTGATGGCACATCCTGGCATAGCAGATCTGTTTCATTTGGCAATGTCTGTTCATACCCTTAGACCCTTGCTCTAATTACATGGCTCTGCCTCACAAATGGTCTATAGCATATGATAAGTGCTTATTGGCTGGCACTGTAACATCATGCCATGAGTAAGTTCTTTACATGCCATAAGAACTTACTCATGGCATGATGTGACAGTGTCAGCCACTGAGCATGTATCATATGGCAATTTTAGCATTGATATCTCAATAGACTGCTATATGCAGAGCTGTTCAGTTGTATTGCTTTATAGATCATGACCTATGTTCGGCATCTTTACTTCAAGCTTGCAATAAAAGCAAGACTATCTTGTCAAACTTGACAACAGCAGCTTGCTCCAAAAAATCAGAAACCTACATCCTCCACTAAAGTAAACTAGCAAAAAAAATTCAAGTCAATTTATATGTACTCTGCCCTCTCCTATGCATGATGAAGGGTCACTGTGCCTAAAAGCTTTCAGATAAATACAACTTGGTTGCAAATATCTAGTTGGTCTAATGAAAGATATCACCTCTTCCATGAGTTTTGATTCCTTTTGCCTCTAGACCAATATGGCTACAACCTGGATACCAGGGCTGTGCAACACTTTGGTAGCTGATTTGATTCAGAGGAAATTCGGCCTGATTTGAGAGCCAAATCTCTGAATCCAAATCAAATTGGGAGACCCATTTAAAGGTCCAAATCGAACTGAAATCCTCTGAATTGATTTGGAGTTTCAGGCGGTCCCCACTCGCCACCACAGGGAAATGGACCCAGGCTCCGTGGTGATAAGTAGGGGGCAGGAGGGCTGGAGGAGGGGACCATAGGGGGACCCCTGCCTGGTCCCATCCCCTGCTGGCTCCCCCCACCCTGGTCCCCACCCGCTTCCCTACCCCATGGCTTCCCTGCCCGGCCCCGGCATCCCAGCACTTTAAAAAAAAAAAAGAAAAAAGCCCTGCACTCACCGGCTGCAGCAGCGATCAGGACCTCTGGGGGCTTGTTGCAGAGCCCCCCATGCTGGGTGGGACAGTGGGGATTGCCCCCCCTCCCCGCCTGGCACTCATGAGGCAGCTGTCGCATTGCGGGTGCAGTGCAGCTGGGCAGGGTGCTGCAGGGCTCCACGCACTGTCTGGGAGCTAGGGCCACTTGGGCTGAGCACTGCTGGGTGCTGGGTGACTGCTGGAGCTGCCCTAGTTCCAGGACAGTGGACAGCACCCTGCTGAGCTGTGCTGCACCTGCTATGTGATAGCTACTGTGTGGGTGCCAGGTGTGGGGGCTGATCCCTGCTGCCCCCCGCTGTGTGGGAAGGCTCTGCCATGAGCCCTCAGAGGCTCCAATTGCCGCTGCTGTAGCTGTTGAGTGTGGGGCTTTTTTTTTTTTTTTTTTTAAGTACTGGGATGCTGGGGCCAGGTGGGACAACAGGAGTGGGTGGAGGGTGGGGCCCCACTCACTGTTACCACACCCCTGCCACTGACACTGCTGCTGCTGCCTGTTTGATTCAGAGGAGATTTGGCCCAACTTGGTGGCCAAATCTCTGAATCCGAATGGGCCAAATCGAATCGGGACAGTGATTCGAATCACCAAATCAAATCACTGTCCCTCTGAATTGGTTGAATCCGAAGCTTAATCGAATACTTGCTGCTTCGCACAGGCCCATTGGATGCCATTCAAGTCAATTAGCTTTTGACACCATGTGAGGCTCAGGGGAAGCATGCTGGTTAAACCTAGGCCTGACCATTCATAAAATACAGGAGTTTTTATGAGATCTGGGATTTCGGCCATTTCTGTCTCTAATCTATAATAATAATAGGCTTATTCTGTTTGTCTGGGGCACTCTGATTGGTTGTCTTGGCAGCCAATCACACTGCTTACTGAAGCAACCAAGCAGAGTGCTCTGAACAGACAGAATAAGTCTGTTGTTATTATAGAAGATCCTGAGGCATTTCAAACATATCTGCAGGCCAGTCAGAGCTAGAAAGAAGCACTGGGCCCCCCTGCTGCAGAGTGGGCAGGTTTCACCAAAGGAAAAAAAAAAAAGCAGTGAGGGGCCTGATCCTTTTTGTTTTTTCCCCAGAGCCTGCCCACTTCTCCTGTGGCCAGGGCACAAGCTACTGACGGGCCCTGAGCTGCAGGGGTCCCTGGTGCTTTCCTCCATGGTGGTGGCGCCCCCTGGGACTGCCTGGGCAGGGTACCAGCAGGTGGGTACTGCCCAGGGGGTGCTGCCACCATGGAGGGAAGCACTGGGGTGCCATGCAGCTCAGGGGCTGCGCAACCCAGTGGCAGCTCACTTCCCAGCTGCGAGAGATGCAGGCAGCCTCCAGGAGGAAAAAAAAGATCAGGCCCCTCACTGGTTTTTTTTGCCATGCAAGCTGCCGCCAGGTCATGCAGCCCCTGAGCTGGGGGAGAGGGGGTGGCGCTGGTGCTTTCCTCCACGGTGGTGGTGCCCCCTGGGGCCACTTCTGCAATAAAAATTTAATTTGAAAATGTTTTGCAGGTTTCAGCTAGTTAGAAATATTGCACCTGATTCACCATTCTGTTACACTCATTTTAAACTGGAGTAATCCCTTGCTTAAATTCAAAGTCCAATTCACAGGCATTTTGGCTTTCAGTTGGCGCCCCCGGTCCCACCGCGAGGAATGACTGTTCATTACTTCAAGCTCGAGGTTCCGGAACTCCAGCAGCTCATTCTGGTCTCGTGCATCCTGAAGCTCCTGTTGTAAGCGGCTGTTTTCTGCTTCCAGTTTTTCTATCTGGTAGAAATATTTGAATTCATGATTTGTGCCGTCATTATAACAACACTGAATCTTTTTGTGAAACAGAGAGGAAGCAGCATCTCAAGGAACAGAGAGGATTAAAATATCCTGCCTGAAGTAGCCATGGTAAAGGCTTAGCCTAATGCAACACAACAGGCTGTTTCTGTCCCAGGTTTGGGTACCACAAAAACAGAACCACAGTTCATTAATGGAGATGAAGGAGTTAAAGCAGAACCTGCTCACTGTTCATTCATTAAATTCACAAATCCACATTGCACATCCTGAATGTGAAGGTATTTAATGTGTCACCTCTTTAAAAACCAACACTTGAGGATTTCGAGCATACCTTTTCTAAAAGTTCTTGGTTCCTCTTAATGAAAAGTTGTTTATCTTCTACCCAGTGAGAGTCCTGTTTGATAAAGTAACAATGATAAATAAGAATCAAGTGACTATTTCAATATTTAGCCTACTAATTGTGTAATTCAGCAT